CTCTGTCTCTCAAAAATAAATAAATGTTAAAAAATAATAATAAACAAAAAGAAAATAAATAAAAGGACTTACAAGTCTTTTGGTAATTCATTCCCACCTGCCTCTCCCTTCTTGCGTCCTGCCACATTGTATGTCCCATAGGTAGACGCCAAACAGTATTATATCCTCGCATCTCTGGACACCAAAACTCGGGAGTTTTCTCATTCAAGCTCTATCTACAGGTCTGCCTTTCCATCTCCATCGCTCACTAGCAATGAGAATTGGGGCAAGGTACCCATCAAGTAGGGATAATGGTGGGTACCCCTGCCCCCAAGGTTGAGAAGTAACCCAGATGATACATCTGCAATGCTTGGCACATATTAAAAAATTTTTAAGGTTTATTTACTTCTGAGACACAGGAACAGAGCACGAGCAGGAGAGGGGCAGAGAGAGAGGGAGACGCAGAATCCGAAGCAGGCTCCAGGCTCCGAGCTGTCAGCACAGAGCCCGACGCGGGGCTCGAACTCAAGAACCGCGAGATCATGACCTGAGCCGCACCTGGCCTGACTTGCTCGACAAATATGGCAAGGGAGAGGTTACGTGACGGGAGCTTAATGAAGGCTGGGATCTGGCCTGTCCCTTCACCGTGGTATCCCCTCCCCCGGGGCCTGGCACAGGTCATGATCAGCGTTCAGGAAAATAGTTCTTGAATGAATGACCTGGCCAGAAAGGCACTTCTCTGATGAGGCAGGGGGGGGGGGGGGGGGGGGGGGGTGGCCGAGACTCCAACTAGATTTCCGGGCCAGTTGCTTCCGCCTTGGCAGGATGGATTTCTCTGTGGCAGCGGAGGGAGCACTTGATAGGAAGTGCCAGCTCTGAAGCTGGTCCTAGACAAGGAAAATCATTTCTGAAAGCCACAGTTTTCTCATCCGTAAAACGCCTGGGTCTTAGGGTTGTGGTGAGTCTCCTACGTGAACAGCTTTGGCCAACATGTGAAGCAATGCGTGTGTGAGGAGTGGCATCCAAGATACCACTTTTACAGCCTACCCTTTTGTGCATTCATGAAGCTTCTGCCGATCAAAGTAGATGTGACTGCTGATGACAAGTCTTGTTACC